TCAAACATCTAACTGTCAGTGCATTAGTCTGATTCTCCTCACAGCTGAAGATCTAAGCTATTGTCATGTCTTAATATGACTACTTCTTGCAACTAAAAATAAATATCTGGGAAAGGTGTCAGAATCACCATTAATTATGATTTTTAATGAAAAGCTAATTAAAATTCGTCCAATAGCTTGAAAACATACCAAACCCTAGTATACCTTTCTCTCTAGAGAAAACAAAGGCTGCCTCCCCAGCCCCAGCTTTTGTCCAAAGAAAAAGTTACAGACTTATATGCAATTTGCAACCTTTTATTGGTCATTTAAGAGGTTTCCGTCTTAGCATTTTTGAAGGTTTTTGTAACACCAGACAAAAATGTACAATCCGCTGGAATATTGTAATGTTATTATTATTATACAAAATAACCAGATTTTTGTCTTACATTCAGGCTGTCATTATCTGGCATACAAAAGCAAAAAGGGCAAAAATTATTTTTCTCTCCTCTCTAGCTGTTTTTGGCAGCTGATTTTTTTTTTTCTTTTTCTTTTAAAGTGTAGCTCCCTGCTGATTATGCTATTGAGTACATCTTGGGTAATAAGCAGATATATTAAAAAATATCCGGGGCAACTACCCTGCTGAAAAACAAGAGGTTACTTTTCTCTACTTCTTGCAGATAAGTAGGTTCTGATGTGTATGCATCAGAAGTGTTTTTTTCGTGGTGTGCTCTCTATAAGACAGTTGAATGTTGGTATTCTATGGCCATTTTACTCTTCAAAAAGTGTTTCTTTGTAGTCTAATATAAATTGTGTCCAAATACTTAAAGCACTACTTGAATTGCTTTAATTTTCCTTACTATAGCTCCATTGCCTTATATTGTCCGCCTTCAGTTGCAGGGAATGTTTTATGTGCTTATTTTTGTTGTCAGTTTGGTTTTGAAACCATGGTGAGCCAACCATGACTGTATTTGTTGCTGTGTAACATAGAACAAGAAGATAGTCCCAGCTCCAAAAAGCCTCAGATTTTGTGTATAAAGCAAGTTACGAGAGATGGGTATTGATCCAGGAGAGGATTGCCAGTCATTAAGCTGAAGAATAGCCTTGGGAAATCGCACAGCCATGCTGATGACTTTTTTTAAACATTATGGTAAAAGATAGTTTGAAGGAAGATTTAAGCTTTGCTAATATTCATAGAAAATTCTGCTAACTGGACATTGGATGATAATCATGGGTTAGTGAGAGAAAAATGTATTTTTGTTGACTGCTTTGTGCCTGGAGGCTGTTGTAAATCTGTTGTAAATCTGAATGTACCGAATGAAGGATGGTATGTTCCATGCCATAACGCTTTGCAGGGCCTTGAAACTGTAGAGAAGCGGCTTCTGCTTGAAATGACTGAGAAGGGGCTAGAAGAGTGGTGGGGAAAGAGCCGAGCTGGTCAGACGGTTAGCTGACACAGATGATCTTTGCAGCTGTCTGAAGAGATTTGATATTAAGATGAGTGCATTTATCTGTAGAGTACAGGAAATCATGCTTTTTAAGCAGTGCTTAAAGGAAGGAGAAGGAATAGTGTAAGGTTTAAACGTAGTTTGGGTAAGAGGATACAGAGAAGATGGGATAGTGATGCTCAGGTTATGAATGGTTTGAGTGGCAAACAGGGTGTTGAAATTGTCAGTAGCGATATTTACTGGGGGGAAATTCTAACAGCGGTCTCCAGTTTGATGCAATGGTATGGCATATGTAAGAGGAGTCTGTGCCTTTCAAAAATAAGCCTCCACTTCCTGCAAGGTAAGGAGGTGTATTTTGTTTAAAAAAAAGTGTAAAAATTTTATTCTCATTCTTGGTTGTATTCTTTTATAAAATAACTTCTTCATTACCACTTTATACTTTTTTTTTTTTTTTAGTAGTCATTAATTCTGTCAAAAATAAAGCTACTGAAAAGGCTCACCTTTAAGTGTCAAGTTCAATTAGGAGTCAATCCTTTTTTAAAAAGGGGAGAAAAAAAAAAAGCTGACTGGAAGTGCTATTACCTTTAATGTAATTGAGCAAGTCATTAACATATCCTCTTTGGTCAGTGCTAGAGTTGATCAGCAGTATCACAGCTGAAAACATATGCCTGTGTGAATCCAGGCTTGTTTTTGTTAAAATATGCTGTAATGTGGTGAACAAATTCATGGTACCAAAAGTAGGGGGCCCCTGTATATGGTGCTGATTGTGGGATTTATTATTCTGTTATTTAAGGTAATGGTGTGTTGCTATGTCAGAAGTGTCACAGTTCTCAGATATGGCACAGCCTTAAGAAGTACTTAGAAAGACCAACAATTGCGGAACGTGAAACAAAAATATTATTCAGTCTTCCTCATAAGGTTCTAATTTTCTTGAATTAACCTAAGTGTTATAACAGCTT